GCGGGAGGTTGCTAAGCACGAAAGAAGCGTAAGAGTCGCTCGAGGCGATAGCCGAGAGCGACTCTAGCTTCTTGAGTGCTTAGCAAACCTCCCAAGTGCATCCATAACTCAATAGTGTACGCTGTGGTGTTTACCATTTGTTTTATAACATAACATTGATACATTGTAGCTAAAGAGTTCCCTTTTATTTAACAAATCTTACGTGACCAGAAAAAACAAGCGCGCGCGGAAAAATAGTCTTTGCATTTGCTCACGTCAGCAGCGTACACCCATGGGCAAATGGGGGACGCTAAATTGACCAATCAGAGCGCGCGCTTTACTTTGGTTATGTTATAAATGAAAATGATGATCGTGACTTAAGGCTCACAACGTAATTCGTCTTCTCTGGCAGACAGAACATCTGTGCTTGACTAAGCGGAGTGCAATTTGGTCTGAAATCATATATGTGATTTCAAAATTAAACGTGTGCACAGCACGAGTCTGATTTGATATCTCAAGTGGTTTGTTTAAACAACCGATAGGTGGTTGTATTTTAAAGTTTCCTCGTTGAATAGGAAAAATGCGAGTTGAATCGAAAATGGTGCGATATGTGGTTGTATTTTAAAGTTTCCTCGTTGAATGGGAAAAATGCGAGTTGAATGGAAAATGGTGCGATTCGTGAATAAATTGCACCAACAAGAGCCAATTAAATTTCAAGGATCACAGGGGTTTTCAAACTTTTGCAAACTCAGAGAGAAGTGTCTTCTTTTGCAGATTGTTTGAAACATATATAGTGAAACAATTTATTGTGGAATTCAGTTTTCGCACGATATCATAAATTATAAAACCTCTTGTATGTGTTATGTGCCTAAACCTTCGCCGGTTTCGACGGATAATTCAGACCTAGGTATTGATGATTAATGATATCATGCTTGTCCTCATCCAAGAAATTGCCTATTATCAAACGTCGTGTCTGTGTTATCTGCCGAAGCCCTCGGGAAGATAACTCAGACTTTGGATTGATAATTTATGATATCATGCTCAACCTCAACCAGTAATTGCTTATTATTGATCGCAAGAATAAAGACTGCTGTCGTAATCAAAAGTGATTGGCACCTCATATATTCAAGAGTTAAATGTGCCTCGTTGAATTTCAAACTTTGTTTTTTAGGAAGTCATTCAAATGCCTTATCAACTGAGCAGTCGAGGAAAACCCCTGCGGCTCCCGGAAGAGAGCTCTTGCGAGAAATGGAATACGAGCAAACGAGGAACGAACAAGACATCTGCTGACACAGAAGGAATTGAGATGTTACCAAGATGAATTTGCTAAGCTAAGTGAGACAAGTGAAACTGAGTTAAAAGAACTACTTAGAGCAAGAGAACAATACGTAGCCAGCGCTCAAACACAGGTGATGGAGATGGAACGGCAATTAAGAGGAATAGAAGAAGAAAACGCAAACCTGCGACAACTAGTTGCTCGCGAAGGGAATCAGGTAGATGACTGGGTAATCTCTCGCGATGAAATTCAAATGACTAGTACACTTCTCGGGAAAGGAAGCTGGGGAGAAGTTTTCGAGGGCAAGTATTGTGGCCTTCCTGTTGCCGTGAAACAGATCCATAGCAACATAGCTTCTCCTCATAACGTTAATTTGGTGCTGCGAGAAATCCACGTCGCCTCAAGATGCCGCCATCCTTGCCTGCTGCAGTTCATCGGAGCAACTATTGACTACGAAGGGGCCCCTCTACTGGTGACAGAACTCATGGGAACAAGCTTGAGAGAGTTGTTGGAAAAGCGACCTCTTTCCAAAACCGAAATACACGCTATTTCTCTGGATGTGGCTCGAGCTTTAAATTACTTTCACCAAAAGAAACCTCCAATACTCCATCGCGACGTAAAGAGTACAAATGTGTTGCTATGGCGACAAGGAAACCTATGGAGGGGTAAAGTTTCAGATTACGGTAGTGCCAAATTAGGTGAACAAAACGTCGTCTGGTCTATCGCTCCTGGATGTATTGCTTACAGTGCGCATGAAACTTCTCCGCGCGAACAAACAGCGAAGGTTAGAAATTCTTTCTGGTAAATAACTGTGATTAAATAAGCATATTCTTATGGAGCCCTCATGAGATAATGCTTTTTTCCAGGTCCAAACAGTCTGTTCAAATAATAGTCAATGGATGAGGTAGAGAATAAAGTGTTGTTGGCAGAGTGACTCTCATCAGTATTCAACCTATTTGACTTGCATGAGCAAACGTTTATTGAAGATAAAGAGCATGCCATCTTATTTTAGCGCCAAATTTCTGGGGTAGAATAGTTTTGATTTTAAGCCGGAATTTCAAAATGTGTCTAGAATACGCTGAATTATTTACTGTTGCGCAATGGTTACAGCTGCGGTAAGTGTATCATCTTAAATTTTTATTCGAAATTTGATTTGTTAGAGCTCTGTCATTGCAGATTGATGTCTACAGTTTTGGTGTTCTTCTCTGTGAAATGTGCATCAGGAGTTTTCCAGATCCTCAAAAGCGAACAGAGCAAGTCGCTATGGTGACAGATAACGAGCTGCGAGACCTTGTGTGCCGATGTCTACAATTAGATCCCAAGGAAAGACCAGACATGAAAGCGATTACAAACGAACTGGGACAGTTCCCTGAAACGTTGTAAGTTTTGTGGCATGTTTAATCCACGTCATGTGATCTTCTACATCAAGTTTGCTGCACGTTATTGGTTATCTACAACGAGTAGATATTCAGCCAACGAAAAAAGTCGAAGCCATTGGCCAGCTGTTGAGCTACAGCAGGTAGTCTTAATGCATCAGTTGTACAAGACCACAGCTCAGCACGATCTTTTCTACTCATATATCACTATTTTAAGACTTCTAGGAAGAGTATAAAGGAATATTATTGTACCTATTGCTTTCTTTTAAAAACGTTAACGAGTAATTTCGTCTTCGTTATCGATCCTTCAAGTCCAGAAAATTGATTGATATTGATCAGGCGCAGTGTTTGCGTTTGTATTAGGAGTCTCAGGGATATACCGAGAAAAATGCGTTAAAATGCATGTGCATAGATAAAATTAACATTTAGATTAGGCGTGGCCAATTGCAGTATATGCAACTTCCTCTAAAAAAAACAGAAGTCCCTCAATATACATTATTGACCGAGCTTGTTCCTTCAAGATGGCTTGTGCGTTTGTTCGTCTTATTAACTGTCCCCCTTTTTCCGTATTTTCCTCATCAAATAATTTCTAATTAGTTGGAATGTGGCTTTGAACGCAGTGAAAATGGTTCCGAATCCGAAAACCATACCTTCTCCTTTTATTTAGAATAGTTGTAAAAACACAAATGTATTAGAGGGCTGGAAGATGCTTCCGCGTTAGATTAACATAGCACTTCATGCCAAGAAACTGTAATGCAATTATACTACTGTGGTGATCTTGCGCGATCGAGAAACAAAACGCTTTCTTAATCTCTGGTCTGGGTTGGCAAGACAAAAATCGATCGCGCTTCTGTAATCTTTGGCATGATTAATTGTTCTTCATAATCAAATTAAACACATACGGTAGAGGCCAGTCATATCTTTATGATATCAAACTATACTGCGCTACTTTGTGCTTCTTGCCCTTCCTTATTCGAACTTCGTTATCCGCGAAAAAAACTACTCTTCATCGTCCTCTGTGCTTCTCTTCTGACTGAAGAATTATGTAAGGTTGTAGTTTATCTGAAATACCTTTAGTCTATCCATAGGGTAGGGTTTAACTTTCTTCACATAATAATGGAAACTAAAATCTAATTAGTCTATCTAAACAAGGACGTAAGATTGTGGTTTATTTGAAACACTTTTAATCTATCGATAGGAAGGGTTAAATTTCTCGACGTAATAACCGAAAGTAGAATAATCTTTATTTCTGAAGGTGAAGCTTGAAATATTTATTTCCACGGTAGCTGATACAGCTATCAGGGTGTGCACGCGACCAAAGGCGTAGAACAGGAATTTCGAACCCGCTTCCGTAATAAGGAATAATTAAACTAAGTGTGTCTGTAATAAAATGAATTAATCCATCAGAGCAGCTTCACAGTAATTATCTCCATTTCTTTTCCTTAGCTATTTCGAACTTGCTTTTCGCTTTAACGTCTCATTTCCGAATCGCTACGTTTCAGTAACTTCCAAGTTGTCAGTTTCTTCCTTATTCGGGTTTTAGCATTCTGCATAATGATGAACTCAGAAGATTGTTTGTCTTGTCGCAACCGGTGGCTCTTCAACTTTGACCAGCAGTTTGGCCTTTTCTTTTTTCTTTTAGCATTCAGAAGGCCACATCCACTTTTTTCCGAGTTTATCTCTCGCCAGAAATATCAATACAGCGTCGCTTTATTATCTAGCTTTGGCTTCCAAACCGTACCTAGCAACATTTTGTAGTTTTGAGATTACTTGCGACTGTTGAAATTTATCTTTATTGGTCAGTGCACAACTGATATGGAATTATATGGAGTTCTCCTGGATACTTGTAGTGTAAGCCCCGTGTGTCTTCTCGTTTTAGTCTAGCTTTTGATTTCCAAACCGCACCTAGCAACAGTTTGTAGTTTTGAGGTTACTCACCGTTGCGACTGCTGAAATTTATCTTTATTGGTCAGTACACAACTGACCTATCAGAAACAAATAATAGATACCGTTTCAGGTCCCTCTGCGATCAAAAGGGCCGCACGACGAGGAATTATTCCTTCCTTTTTTTAAAGGAATTGCACACTGTACTTGAGGAATCGGTAGCTGTCGTGTAACGAGGTTCGAGCTACTAACAACCTTAAAACCTGTTACTAACAACTTCATAGGTGGATACGTGTTTTTGAGAGCAACGGGAGAATACGAAAGTAGAGGAGGTAAGTTCATTTGTGCGTATTTCACGCGCAATCATTCAGATAATATTCTACTCGATTGAAAACTCCTCCGAAGGATTAAACGACCTTGCATCGCGGTTTTCTAATCTCGCTTCTTATCATCGGCGACTATATTTGTAATAAATCTAAAGTTTTGAATGTCCTCCGTTCAATTCGACTCCGGACTCACGGAATGCTCAATTAGTCTCTTTATCTCTTACGGGAATATGGGGATTTTGTGAAACAGTTAGCTCACGTGGTGGAAATAATCTCTTCAAACGATCGTTGGGAACGTCTTGATTTCACTTTTAAAATAAACTAAAACTCGCGTAGAGCACCATTTTAACTCGACTGGGCAAAGCGGACGACAAGCATCATCGCTCCTTAATCACTTTCTTTATCTATTCAGTCTCTGCCGAATTTGCATCCCCTTTTAACTATTGATGTTCCTGTGGCGGCATTTTAGGCTCGAGGTATATAACTCATTGCTAATTTCTCTATATTCTTGTACCATTTTAATGCTGCAGACATCGTATAGGCGCGAGCAAAAAGTATGTACATGCTAATAGCGTTGTTTGTCACATATTTCACCTTCTCGGTATTTCCTGTTGAATTCGACACTAAGGGGCGCGCCAGGGCACATCAGGAAATGTTTGCGGAGATTTTATCTACTTAGCTATGCAAGTGCAATATTTCGAATGCGCATCGAAACCACTGCACCATTTACCAAGCAAATGGTTACTTTTTGAGAACCTAGGATCATAGAAAAAGTACCGCTTATAGCTGCTATCACTGATAATTTCTACTCAAGGACGTAAGGATACAGCCAACCGTAAAGAACTCTGCCTTGAACGTAATGTGAAGGTTTCGTCACTGAGATCTCGATATATATACTGAGTCATTTGAGCATTCTGGATTGACAACGACAGGCAAGATATATCAGATACAAGAAAATACCTTGGGTTTTCTGACTGATAAAATAAACCGCTTCTGAATTAAGGAACTATAGTGTTGTTTCGAGTGGTTGAAAATGTCGCTAAATGGATCAAAACAGTTTGAATGATGGCTTGTCAGGCCCTATCCGCACTAGTAGGCAAAACTAGAATTGTGCGGACAAAATCAAAGGACAAATTTTTGTGCGGATAGGCCCTTAACCAAAGGGATTAAACCAAGGACTAAAAGGATTACTGAAGGATACACACGAGCTTCAAAGAGAGAAATTTCAAAAATAATCGCTGAAGTTATCTAAAAACCACGGCGGAGATCCTTCCTTTATTATTATGGTACGGCCGTTCTTACAAGGTATAAGGACTGACAAACCGTATCTATGCGATCTCGGGTGCATTGCGTGACTTAGAAGGATAGACCTTTTTAGCTTCATACGTCTTAGATTAGTTACGTGGTCTGAAATGGGTGAACAACAGTCGCGGCTACAGTTAAGCGTAGGGAGAAATTTATTTCCGTTGCGTCTCTAAATGGCGCAATATTTCCACAAATTCGGATTTTTCTTTTCATAAGTACCCTGACGATTCTTAGCTTCAGAATTTAAGTATCCATGCTATGTTTCTTCAACTTGTGGTTGCACGCATGTGTGTTTAATCTGCGCGCACGCTTAGATGGTCAGAAACCCGGAAAAATAATTTAGTCAAGCCTCTATTTCTAAATGTCATGGTTGTAAGATAAATGTCAATTTCTTTTAAACAAGTATAACTTCGAGGAATAAAATAAGATCAAAATAAGGAAATAATAGTAACATCCGGTACCAAAGTGTGCTCTCAACATTTCAACGCAGACTTTAAGTACTACCC